CCCTCCCGGCCGGCTCGCCGTCGGCCGTGGCGCTCCACGGGCACGTGCCGGCACCGGGGCTCGCGGGCGGGATGCCCTTGGGCAGGATCGGCTCACCCGGGCAGGCAGCTCTGGGGGGCTGCATGGGGCCACCCCAAAAGCATCTCCGGGAGAGCCGGTGCTCGGGCCAGGGTTTTGGTGACTCGTGCCGGGGAGCCACGGTGCCTGCGGACGATGCTGCCTCCCTCCCTCCACCAGTGGCCCCTTTTTTTTTTTTAACTATTTTTGCTTGGAAAGGAGCGTTTCGGTGGAATGGGCTCATTAGGGATTCTGCGAGTGTCACCAGCTAATTAGTGTCATGTTAATTGAGTATTCACGATGCTGCCACCTCCAAGGACAGCAGTGCCGGCATGAAGGGGAATGCAGATGTGCGTGGCTGGTGGTGCCGGGCGGTGTGCCGTGCCTTGCCATGCCGTGCCGTGCCGCGCCGCGCCATGCCACTGGGCAGGTGGGGTCCCGCTCGCAGCCCCCTGTGCCCGCTGGCTCAGGGGGTGCCCGTGCCCAGCGGCGCCCAGTGTGCATGTTCGCCTGCACCCGTGCAGCTCGCTGACTGCTCTGCAGGTGCCACCGGGGCTCGGGAGCTTTGTGGGGGTTCACCGGTTGATGCCCGGGAGGTGCCCAGCAGGGCTGACGGCACAGCCCGGGACGCCGCGTGCCTGCACGTGTCCTGCCGTAGGGAGCTGCTGATACCATGCCTCCTGTCTCCCGACAGCTACATTAAATCCTACTCAAAAGCCCTGGTTTTAATTGGCTTAATATACTCGTTAATAACAATGTCTATTTAAGACACCTGTAAAAAGCCCATAACATTAGCTTAATGGGAGGAATGGCTGGCGAACACTCTGCCGTTCTGCCTGTTAAATTACCGCTGCACCGCTTTGATGGAGAGCGGCCCCGGCCTCGCGCCTGCATCTCCCGGAACATCACTCTGCTGCCCGGGGGGGTAACATGGAGTCCTGCAGCTGCCCGTGTGCCCACCTCCCCCCGAATCCTGGGTTTAACCTCCCCCCAAATCCTGAGTTTAACCTCCCCCGGAGTCCTGGGTCGAACCTCCCTGTGAATCCCGGGTTTAACATCGTGCCCGGTTCCTCCAGGTGTGCCCACGCGTGCCTGCAGCCACGGGCACCGCGCCGGAGCATCACTCGGAGCAGGACTGGGACAGGCATTGCAGGCCAATTTAACGACTTATTTCGGTGTGTTAAATGCACCTGATGGCACAGCTCTTCTGCAGGAACTGCGTCACCCAGCACATGGTGGCGTCAGGAACCGCTGATCCCGGTGGCACACGGAGCGAAGCACTCCCAGCATCCCAGCAGGGATGCCTGCAGTCCCCTTCCCCCGGGGAACCGTGGGGCTGCGCAGCCTGGGAGCCTCCAAAATTGCCGGGCGGCACGGGAAGGGTCCCTGGGAGGGCTGGGCGCTCCTCGGTGGGGGGCACCAGCCCCAAACCCCCCCGATTTGACCATCTCTCCCTTGCAAAACCCGGCTCAGGGTCTGGCATCCCCGGGGTGCTGCAGACATCGCCCGGCTGGTCCGGGAGTTTTGGGACCAGCATAGGAGCAAGCATCGTCCCCCGTGTGCCGGCATGTATGTGCATGTGTGCACGCGCGCGCGTGTGTGTGTGTGGAGATTTTAAACACCTAATTTATTCCATCTATTAGATAGATTTTGTAGATTTAATCATTTTCACAGTTGGTGGCTCATTGGATACTCAAGATAAACTCCAAATGAAAGTATAATGGGTACGACAAATGAGTTTTCACACCAGAATGGCAGAAACTTGCTCGGGGAAGAGCTTGAAAGGCACAAAAATATATACATATATAATTTTTTTTTTTCTGCAGTGGCTTTTGCTGACTCCAGTAGGTTACCACAGTTAATTTCACCAGTTTTGTTCATCTGTAAAATTGCATAAAAGTGACATTTTTGTGCTCATTATAGGAACTGCTGATTTATGGCTGGTAAATGCAATGCTTTTCCATTTTTGGTGAGGTTCTCGTAGCAGCGCAAAGCACCCATGAAATTGCTTGTATAATGTAGTTTAAATCCAATCTCGGAGAAAGATTCCCCCGTTGGGTAAAGTGACATTTCCATTCTCCACACCGAGTTTATTTTAGGCCACTTAGAAGTGACTCCGGCAGCAGGAGGGGGCAAGTTGGTGCCCTGACCTGGTTTCCGCTGGGAGCGGGTGCGAGCCGGGGAGGGGCGATGGGCGCCGGGTCCTTCTCCTCCCGGCGGCGCCGCATTCACCCTACGCTTTGCTCCTTGCAGGCGAGACGGCGGCACCCATGCATTCCCCGCGCTACCCCAGCCCCGCCGAGCTAGACGCCTACGCACAGAAGGTGGCCAACAGCCCGCTGACCATCAAGATCTTTCCCACCAACATCAGGGTCCCCCAGCACAAGCACCTTAACCGGACGGTCAATGGCTACGACACCACGGGGCAGCGCTACAGCCCCTACCCCCTGCACGCCGGCGGCTACCAAGGTCTCCTGGCCATCGTGAAAGCCTCCGGCAAAAGCGTGGTGAAGAACTCGGAGGGGAAGCGGACTAAGCTCTCGCCCGCCCAGGTCGGCGTCGCTCCCTACCCCGCGTCAAGCACTTTAGCTCAAGGTCCCTCCTGCGCCGGGCAGCTGAGCTACCACGGCGGCCAGAAGCAGCTGGAGGGTCCCGTGCCACCCCACGTGACGGGGGCGGGC